ATATATGCCCACCACATTCATTTAATGGTTTGAACGGTAAGATTGTCTGTTTCTTTTCTCTATTTCCTTATCCCATGCTATCCACTTGTATTGTTTTAATATTTAAGAGAGCTTATTTCATATATGTTTTTAGTATAAATATCCCACGAATCAACATTCAACTACACAAAAATATTTTAGTTACTGATTCATTTGCTAAAAAAAATGAATCACAATAATGAAAGTTTTTAAAATTTCTCGAGTTCTAATCATAATCTTTTAGATGATATTCCATCAAATTCTCAAATTCACAAACCCCTTTGAATTTTCCGTTTTCAAAAGCCTCTTATCATGCACAAATTCCTCCACAATTTCCATCAAATTTTCCTTATATGCAATTATACTCTCAAAATTACACAGTCCCTCCAACACTCCATATTCACAATTTTCTCCACAAGTTTTACTTCAAAACCCTCAGCCTGAATATTGACAGTATTTAAGTAGTCAAAATTTGGTGCAATCTTCTCCATAACCATCAAGTCAATTGTTTGGATCTCAAATGATATCTGTTTTTATACTATCATATATTATGGATCCCACAGTGAGCTAGCTGTTTTGCTCACCCCCCACAATTATTATTTTCAGGTTGATCGAGCTGGTGGCGGACATGAACCGCCGAGGGGTGGTCTAAAGAATGTTTTTACTTTATGCTTCTGCAGAACTGTTTCGAACTCTATACATGAGTAGTTTTTCATGTTTGTGACTGAGTTGATTTATGACCATCGAGACTAAGTGTTTGAATGTTTTAAGTATGCTTGATTTTGAGAAGTAAGTTATAAGTCTTGGGAAGTGATTTCCTAAAAGAACCTAAGTGTGAAGTTTAGGTTAAGTTTTAATAAAAATCAAGAAAAGAGAGAGTTAGGAAAGAGTTTTAATTAAGTACCTGGTGAAAGTTTTTAAAGTTAAAGTTGTTTTCGAAAAAATTCAAAATTATTTTGGAAAAATCAATATTTTCGTAAAGATAAGTAAACGGTGCTTACAGTTTAGCTCCAAAACAATGGGAAAAGTGTAGTTTTTTTTTCCCTTATTTAACATGTCTCTATTGTACCTGTACATGCCAACCCTCTAGATCGCCTTCTCCATAGGACCAACCTCAGTTAATCCCATCACTTCCGAGTAATATGAAAGCAGAAGAAAAAAAAAAGACAAACAAACGAATTACCATGAATTTAGGATTATAAAAATAATCTTTCTGAGCGGTTTGAGTGACCATTCATTGTGAAACCTCGTCGCATGTATTCATTACGCCTTCCTGAATCGTGGTACAATGCGACCTATGCCCATGTAAGATTTTTTTTCATAGCTTAACAAGAAAAGTGGGATTTGAAAAATAAGGAAATCTATAGCTGGATCAAAGCTAATACCAAGACCTTTTCGTAGGTTATTGCTAGTCCAAAGTCAGCTAAACAAACTGAAGTGATTTTGACATGCGTGAATTCAAATTCAGGCTAATTAAACAAAGTAAAGTGGCTTTGTCATAGGTGAATTAAAAAATTTGATGACACTGAAAGTCCAAGAAAAGCACACGCACATTGTTCATAGTTTCATGAAACCAATAGTATCAGGAAGTGTCCAATTGTCATGAATAATGCAAAGAGCGCAACACATTATCTGACAAATCATAGACGGTGTTCTCCCGAACATATTTGAATAATTTATGTTGAAGTATAAAGCACGTGCAATGGTATCCAACAAAAACACAAATCGGTACAACAATATCTATATTTGGTGTATTTCAAGCAAGCAACAAATTCGTAATTGCATCAATAGTACGTCTGACTTTCCATACATGCACCAAGCACCATAAATGCATTTCATTCTCACTGGAAGATATGTTTCCATGTTTTAGAATAGAAAATAGATGCATACAAATTCGATGTGATCACAGGAAAATGGAAAGCAAAATGACAATAACTAATAGAGGTTCAACTTCATAATACATGAAGAGGAAAAAAAAAGGTCTAATATAAACGATTTTAAGGTGCATAAGTATATTCAAACTTAAAGAAATCATTTCACTATATTCATTCTCTTGACTATAATGAAGCATGACTCTCCAGGCTACAATTATCTCAGTGAAGTAATGCATCAGACCAAGTCTACATCACTTTTTTCATAGACATCACTAAAGGTCTTATGATCCACCTCCAATCGAACTTTTCTCCACAAGCAAATGATAACATTATCAGTAATAGCAAATATATGAAGAGGAGAAGTGTTGTAGCACAAATTGTTTTTAAATTAGCGAGTATCGAATCGAATGATTCATTCCCAGAGTCGATATCTCGAGGAAGGCGGTTCGGAATCTAATGTTGGTATGGATAACACATAAAAGGAAAATAAATCCTAAACATTCTAATCAAAAGATTGGTTTTTGATTATTAACTAAGAAATAACATAAAACATTAATCTACCTAAAAATATAAACGACACAAAGATAGAAAGCTAGGGAATCGGGGATAATTAATTCAAGTTCGAAACATAAAGCCGGGCAATTAGTTGTTCGGTTCAAGATTGATGCTCTCGCTTAAACATCTAGCGGTTCGCTCCCAATACCTCTTCGTAACATGGGATTGAACATAGACGAGCAAGTTCGAGCATACAACACCGGCCAACAATCCAATCCCAATAACTCTTCGTAACATGGGATGGGACATCGACAAACGTGTACTTCAATCCGAAACCTATAGACAATACGTCTCTGAACATGCCTACCTCGTACGAGCCTAGTTATACGACTCCTCCCCTATCGGTTCTAAAAGTAGCTAATTCGATTAGAAGGTGTTTAATCAACTAATCGTGTAGAATCAACAAACTCTAACTCAACAAATCAATATTCAATTGTTTCAATCGCAAAATCGAAGTCACTATTCGATTATATTAATAAATTAACCTAAGTATCACTCTTAAGTTATATCAAATTATCAAAATCAAGCAAGAATTCATCAATTCCTATCATAATCAACTCGCACAATAACGGACAACTTAGAGCCCAACAATTATGAATTAAACAAGAACAATCATCCCATATCCCTAGCAATAAGAATTAGCTAAGTAAATCACATTTAACACAATCAAACATTTCTCCCAAATCAACCATTTTTCATGAATTAATTAAAAGAGAAAATAAACTTACAATTTTTTCAATCCAAGTGTTGAATCTTCATACAAAACTTAATCCTAAAATACCAAGAAGAAGAAGAAGAAGAAAAATAGAAAAGATACCAAGACTAGTGAATCAAGTTCAATCATATGCTTACCCATTATCTAACTTCTACTCCAAACCAATCAAAATTGAGACTAGTGAATCAAAAGGTCTTTTAAGGTTGTAACGTCGGCTCTTTGGATAGGTAGGATAAATATAGGCTAAGTGGCTTGAATATATAACTCAAACTCCTTACCCAGAACTATACACTCGACCGGTTGTTCAAACATACCGGATTTTCCCCCACACTTCTCCTAAAACCACATGTTTCACCCAATTATTCTTTTTTTTTTGTTTTGCTTTATTTTTTTTATATGAACACAACTCCGACAATCATCCCCTTCAATTCTCATCCCCTCTAATTCTCAACCCCCAACTCGTCAACGTCATCATCACGAGGTTATCAATAAAAATCAAATAAGGCTCAAAAGAAGAGACTAGGGAATAATTTGCAGAGAAAGAAAGGATAGAAAAATGCAATAAATGCCTTAATCATATTCACAGTTCACAATTCTAATCGATTTATTTTAATGCAGACTCAGGGCAAGTTCTTATCAAACAAGAGCATGACCGATGTATCTCAAGAAACAAATAAGGCTCAACCCTCACTAGGTAAATATATGAATGTCAATTAAAGCAATCGACCAAGCATTTCATCATGCTATACCGCATATCACCAACATCACAACTCATCAAATT